GAAAACATACTAACAGGAACAGGAGAGGAGTTCATTATTCTCCTTAACTGGGGGCATATGCGTCTCACTATGTAGGTGTTCGATGGGAGATATCCTGTCGTAGTACGGAGTGCGGTATTTTCACAGGTCTGGAATTTCCACATCTGCGTACCATTGCATCCAGGTGACCATATTGGTGCGGCATAATTGAGGACCGACCGGCCGATTGCCTTGTATGTTGCCAACAACCTTTGTCTTTTCACCTTGTGCTACCAGCTAGCGACGTGAGGGTTTTGTTGCGGCTCTGTACCATAGATTTGATCGCGGTTGTACGGGGCGTGAAGGAGCATAGACTATCAAAAGTTACAACTAAAATCTTAGGAATATTGACGCCATTGAATATTAAGTTCAAGTCTATACTCTTTCCTCCAGTTCGTAAATATTGTCGCTGTGGATTCGGTGGGGGAAAATGTTAAGTCCCGTGCAGTGAGGAGACGAGAAATGTCGGAAAGTTAGCAGTTTACTTTTGAACACATGCCATCGATGCCATTGCCCGACCTCAATATCGTGCAATCATCAGCCTACGAGGTTATGGTAACTCCTTACTTACTAAGTATGGTGGCTGTGGTAGTTTCGAGATGTAGAAGTTAAATAGAAGCGGGGAGAGAACACCACCCTGCCGAATCTCCTGTTTAATTCTTCTCAGTTTAGATGTTTCACTTCGAAATAGTACGGATGATTGTCGACCCCTCAGGTAGTTCATGATCCACCTCTTCATTCCTGGAGGAAGAGTAGTTTTCCCGATGTCCTGTAGTAGCGTTGTGTGGCTGACTGTGTCAAGAGCTTTTGACAAGTCCATCTCTCTGAGCCTTTATGACGCTAAGTGCTGGGGTGGTGCAACTTTTCACAGCCATGCTTTTGGCTGGCAAGGCTCAGGTGGTGAGTGAAGGTCGGGAGTAGCAAGTCCTCAAATGTTTTCACTACTGGGAAGAGGAGAATTATCAGACGATAGAACTCCCCTTTGTTAGCGGGTTTCCCAGGTTCTCACTCTTACGACTTTCCACACATCGGGTATTTGAACAGAGGTCAGAGGCAGGTTGAGGACCTTGGTAAGATAGCTCACTCCCGTCGAACCCAGATGCTTCAGCATAAGCATATTGATTCCATCAGGGCCAGTGGACTTTGAGTATGTCGATTTGTTTATAACATTCTGAACCATGTTCCTCAGCTTCGAAAATTCGTTGTGCTTTCTTATTTGCAATGTGCTCCTTCTGAGCGCTTGCTTGTACTTTGCGTAATTTTTGTGTGTCTCCACGCGGTTGTATCGCCTTTGCTAAGGGAGTGTTGTCGCCCAATGCTGGTGGTGATGATCTCGCTCTCAAAGATTTGTCAACACCAAGGTTTTTGGACCGAAATAGACAAGAACAGGTGTATTCTCGGCAACACTACCGCTATCTCAGTTCTGGAGGAACGACGCATATTTCCATGAGGCGGTGTCGATTCGCCACAGTTGCAGGAGCTTTAGCAGATTTGCTAGCTGTTAGGACGCATCCTCTACTGTTGCCGCTTATCGTTAGGGATTGGTTATTCGTTTAAACTTATTTCGCAACTAAACTGATAGTACAGGTTGTTCGACTATACGTGATTTCCGACCCCCGGTAGCTTAGAGCCCAGCGAGGGAGCCCTAACTCGATAGTACAGAGCTCTCCGTCTGCTACTACAGGTCGTTGTGTTGGCCGTTTTGCACACATCTTCTCCTAGTATCCGGATTTGGTGAAAAGCTTTCTGTAGGTCGATTTTTGAAAAAATAGTTTTGCCTGTGCTTAAAGTCGTGTAGAATTGGAATGGCAACCAGTCCGGTACCGTGACTGTATACAAGGCACGGTAACCCCGACAAAGTCTGCAAGAATTAGCTGATTGGGATACCATATGCAGAGTTTCATTAATAGTTCGAATTAAGCAAGTGTCGAAAAGAGCGTTCAGATCTCGCATTCGCCACGGGAAATGTGCAGAATTTTCGAAGAAAACTATGAATGATGGAATATAAGTATACATCGCAGTTCTTCAACGGTTCCAATAGAGTAGTCTGTAACTTATTGTCTTTTTATTTTTGCTTCTGCCCCCTATGGCATTGCCAGTGCTCAAAAGCCTTTGAATCTATCTATCAAGTAGTCAATAAGTTTTCCATTTCTTTGCACATACTGTTCCTCTAAAAACAAACTCAGTCAATCCATCTAATACTTCTATAGAAAAGCGCGACTTCAAATCTTCGCTCATTGTATCCAACCGAGAAATGTACACTGAGACCCTCGAGACCCTGTAGTATTCTTCACAAGTCCTTACGCAGAAATTTTGCTGTTTTGTTTATCGGCCGCAGATTCTTGGTTTTTCTTCGTCAACTTTCAGTTTTTTGTCTGCGATTTTAGAACGTTACAGGCAGCGTATTTATCATTACGATACCTTCGCCACATCGATCGAATATTTTTGCTGAATCTCGCTGATTGTTGCTGAATGTTGCGTTTCTTTGAAAATTTCGATAATCAATACTTTACCAAGTCTTTAACTGAAATTGCAAATGGGTTTTGAGTTACAGGCGTCGCTCAGTTCAATCAGAGTTTCGATCGAAATAATTTTTCGAATTTGTAGCAGTGATTACTCGGAGACAAATGATCTGATCACCTTCAATTATTTTGGTTAAACTTTTTAAAATAAACTTATAATTTTTTTCAATCGTAGGTTATTCTTCTGACAGTACTCTATAAGGAGAATTTGTTTCTTTCATTTATAGAAAATTACGACACTGAATGACTTTTTTGCTCCGTCGAAGATTGCGTGTAGTGAAATTTTCTTTATCAAAAACTGTGTATTCCTACAATATACAAAGTGCATATTTTCAATTCCCAAAAATCACTGTTTTGGCTGTAACACTCGGTGCATCCCTTAAAATTAAAGCAGAGACGTTATTTTGACACCGACGGCAAATAGTGAGAAAGATAAAATTTGGACTTTATGAAACATTTATTAAAATAACAATTTTTACGATATTAGGAGGTAACTTTTGACATATATATTTATAAAAAATCCATTTTCTTAATGCCTTTTTGAAGACAGTCCAAAACTATTTTGTTTAGTTTTCTCTTTTCCTCAGTTTCTAATTCTTTGTCATCATCGCCGTCCTGTCCTGTGGGCCACAAGCTTTGCCTGGCGTTGTATAGAAATTTCCTAAACTTCGCTTGCCTTAAGAAGGCATCCAAATCACTCCAGTCACAGTATTGAATATTATTGCAGCATTCTCCTATTAACCCAACGGTGAGGTCAAGCTTTGTATCGATAATTCTTTTGGCGATAGGTTGATCGCGTCGAAGTTCCTCCCTATAGCGTAACATTTTATATGTGAGTGTAGAGTCTTTTGCAGGTGTCTTCATAGTGAAATTTGTTTACTTTTTAGTTTTAAAGTGCCAAGTTTAAATTTCTTAAAATTACTGACTTAACTTCGCCGTCATTCAGAATTTATATACATCTTATGAGAGGTAGTAACTAATGGTGGCTATACAAATATTCGCGGCTCTATAAAATGCTTGAAGAGTATCGAGTGTTATCGTTATTTTACGAGGCAGTAAACGATGAACAAATAAATAATTAAATTATGTGTGTTATTTATAGTAAATCTGTGGTGTATTGATACTCTCGAAGTTTCGGCTTAAATATTTTAAAAAGTCTTGGCAATTCATGAATAAGTCGTGAAACGCTTTTTTTAGATTTCCGTTTTTCTTACTGTGGCCCCTCGTAAATTTTTGCCAAATACTTTTCTTCGAGTTTGCGCGTTTTTTTGTTGCAAAAAAAAAAATGGAAAAAGTTAAAGAGGTACCGTGGTGTAAATAAAAAGCAGAAAAACGCTTCACTCTATTTTCACCCAGGCGAAGACCTGAGGTACTGTAAGCTCCATTAAATATCTCACAGACAGATACAACTCTTGGTACACAGAAGAGCCTAATTCCACTGAAACACTCTTCATTTAATCTGTGAAAAATACAGTCTGACTTATTTTCATATGCGGAACATTCGAGTTTCATTTTTAACACTAAAAGTATTTCAATTTGACCCAAACCTAGATAAAGTGAGTAGTAAAATGATCAATTCTCCCTGTTATTAGGATTCAGGTTAGTTGAAATTTTTGATTTTCATGTCGTAGTACAAACATTATCGAATAACCGAGTCATATGTATGGTATATGTAATTGAATATGCTTTCCATACAAACAGTTCAACTTGGCTATTGCAAAAATTATATACGTTTCACTCAGCTGCCTCCTCTCTGCTATAGAAATGGTCGAAGGTGATGAAATCAGATAAAGCGATTACGAGAGCTGCTCAAAAGAAACTTCTGGAGAAAATTGTTGTCTTCTAAGAGATAATGATGATATCATATGTAGGTATTAACAAGTGGCAAGTAATAGTGAACTCGTCGAAAATCGCAGCACCGCTCATGGTAAAAGTCTAAAAAGGTGATCATTAACGAGGTAAATTATTATCGGTAATAGATTTCAATGAAATAAAGTACACAATAAAGCAAAAAGGAAGAGAACATAATTTTTGTACGAACCGTTGAAAGAGGGCGGTTCTTAAGAGCAGTTCTAACAAAATTAATCTCTAAAATTTTATGTATTGTGAAAGTTCGGGAAATCAATCTTCAAAGGAATCCTTTCCCGAGCAAATTCTTTTTTTCTTAAGAATAGTCCAAATTTTTTATTGGGTATGGTATTTCCAAATTTGTTTACATTTTAAACTTGCACAAGTAGCGGACCCATATTAAGCCATACAATTAAGCTACCTTACGCAGGTAGCGGACCTGTATTCGACCTTAACCTTAATCACCATGAGCAGGTATCTATAACATCTGTCCAAAATAATCTACCTGTCCCAAACCATACAAAGCGATTCAGCGTACATTCGTTATTAATCGTGCGTAAGAAAAATTAATTTGACCAACTTTTTTTTTTAACTGCGAGCAAAATATCAACAATGGACTCCGAAAAATCATATTTACCTTATAATATTTTCGTGTACCGTGCTGAGCTTTGTCGTCGTCGGCGTAAGGTTATCACCCTTAACAAGATGAAAATCGACATCACGCAAGAATTGATCGCTAATTGCTCCAAGAAACTGTGGGAATGCGACCAGGAAGACATCGAGGCTTTCAGTAGGCAGCTGTCGTTCAGAGATAAACTATTGCAGCAACAAAATTATTTATGCGGCAGAACAAATGCTACTTGCGAAACGGAGGTTGAGGAAAGTGTGGATAAAAACATGGAGTTTCTCGATTCCGTTAATTTCAATTTTCAGACGATAAATTACTGGTGAAGACGATATGATGAGAGATGTGGGTTAAGAAGAAATTGCCGGATTAAGAGTACCGTAAACTATGTTGTTGTTACTGATTTGAAATATAGGTGAAATCGCTTTTAAAAATCTGCAAAAATGTAAAATTATGATTTGTGTTACTTGCCTTTAACTTAATATTTTTTTTGTTTTTTTGTAAGAAACAGAAAATGTTTTCCTAAAAACAATTCTTTGATTTGAGACTATCTAGGTTTCTTATATCAAGAACTGTAATCAAAATCTCATCGGTAAAGGTTGCGAATCACACCATGAACAACATTTTGAGAGCCGACGATTTGACACATAAAAAGATGATAGTGTAGAGATTTGGATTGTCCAGGAAAAGGTAACCGACAGAGTCCGCAGGTTACTGCTTTAATATAACCAATCGAACGAATTTTTGGAAATTGGCGAATCGAACAAACAACTAGCATAAAAATATACTGGTATAATTGCTAAACTGTCTCAAAGTCACTGTGACCTCCAAAACCTTGCCATTTGCCGATAAAATGTCTCTTACATGAAACTTGGTAACGGTCTAAATCACAAAAAATAAGTATTGGAGACCCTTCAGAAGTAATGTTTTTTAAAAAGTGGAATGTTGGAATATTGAAAATGTAAATAGCTTGCGTTGGACCTTAATGAAAGAAGCCTTGAAAAAAAATTGACAAAACGTTCTTAGAAAAAATTATATATGTATAATAATCTAATCATAATCTATTTATTTTAAAAGTATTCTGCAATAAAATAAGAAACAATATAATATGAAGTGAGTTTCAAAAATTTTTGTGTTTTCCATAATTGTAAATAACCTAAATATTTTGACCAGAGAGCAGATCTTAAGCAAGGAGAGCAGAAGAGTGGCGATTCGAAAAGTCTGTCGTCTCATTCAAAGCTTTTGATGCCATCCTCGAAAAGATTTTCAGTATCAGATACTTAAGTTTGTCAGCGGTCAGAGATCGTTGTTGTTATAAATTCAACATACCCGAAAGTCTAGATGGCTACTAATCTAACATTATTGTGTCATTTCTAACGGGTAATCCAAATAGTGGTATCTTTTTCAATAGCCTTTTTTTGACGCATCACGCGTGAGTCGTGTCAAGCTGACATGTTATTTTTGTTCAGTATTGTTTGAAACACATGAACAAGTTTATTTCGAAAATTCGCGTTCTGCAAAGAATGAGTTTGGCGCGCTTCGTTCTAGTTTTGGAGTATACTGAGTATACTATTCGCAAAACCATCACCCATCTTGAATACCAGCATTCTTTATTGGATAAGATTCCACCGAAGAGACCAGTGAAGAAATTATAGCAGCTGAGAGTGTACAAAAAAACCACGGAGAGTCAGTTCGGTGCGCCGTTCGCAGCAACTCGAACTATCGTATGAACGACGTGGCCCATTTTACGTTGACATCTTATATTGGAAGCGTAGAAAATTCAGCTTGTGCAAGAACTGAAGTCACTCGCCCGTCTCTAGTGACATCGCTTCGCTCTATGGACTCTTGAAAAGTTCCAAGAAGATCCATTGTTTTAGAGCCAAATTTTGTTCAGCGATGAGACCTATTTCTGGCTCAACGGGAATATAACATTTGAAAGGGAAAGCGATAATCTTCAAAAAATAAATGCCAACTAATGTTCTTTCGAATAGTAATAAAAATTTGAAATTTCTTCTTTGTTCTTTCAAAAAATGGGGAACCTAGAAAAGGATCTCCCTTTATTATAGTTATGTGTATAGTTATTTTATGTTTCTGGCTCTTTAAGAATATCAAAGAGAAGTATTAAATAATCAAAATCGGTTAATTGAAAAAACGGATTATAATTTTGGGAATACCCAAATTAGATATTTGAATTCTTTCGCGGGTATCTTCCTTAAGAGTAAAGTTGAACTTTTTCCATTTGAAAGAGATGACTTTGTTTTCCCACTGTATTTTCATTTGGCATATGTAGAATACACGGTCAAGAATGCTTATACTTTTGCCAAACATTTCTTCGAGCCGACAGTATCCGACAAAAGAAAGGCCATGCTATCCGTTTTATCGACTTTGTAGATTTTAAAAGAAAGTTTTTCGCAAAGAATTTGCATAATTTTATGTTCGCACACTGACCACCACGACGACATCGATGATTGACATAAGACATTTATAAATGCCAGATATGCCATATGATATATATATATATGATTAAACCCTGCAAACGCGCATGCAAATTTAAAAATGCGCTTTTATAAGCTACTATAATTCTCTTCAAAACAGATTCCTTTCAAATCTAATTTCGAGAAAAACTTAAACTCGAGTGAAAGCAAATAAATTTGGGTCATCAACGTATGCCATTTTCAAGTAGTTTTACCAAAAGAGTATCTAAAGCAAGTTTGAATTTGTGTAAGCAGAAATATATATAGATACATACGAGGTTTGTTCAAAAAGTATGGCGAATTTTGTATTTCTTAAGAAAATGTTTATTCATTCATTTTGTCGCTAGAAACTATTCTCTACCAGATATATGGTTTCTGCCAATGTTTTCTGAAGACCTCAAAACTCTAAACAAATTAATTTGTTTGTGATCTTGTTTAGTTTCTCCTTCGATGTTGTTTTATCTCCTCAGTCGTAGCTAAAGATCGGTCTTCTAGGGGCCGATCTTGTTAGCAAAAGTAAGGGATATGAGTACCAACATGACACAGTAAAACAATAGAAACTCGCAGCCTGCGAAAATTCAAATTCCCGATATTTTTGGTACAAACTTTGCATATGCACACCTGTAAGTTGATACAAAGCTTGGAAAATATGTTTACCTGGCAATGAGCGGCAATTGTAATGCATACTTTTAGGAGTCAGCAGCAAGATTACCAAAGAAATCTTTTATAATATGTGAATGTCTGGCATGTAGGTGCAAATAAAGGGAAAATGCAGAGTAACTGGGCACACGATAGCTGCTTAAAATGCATCAAAGTGGCGAACGGAAATGAAAATGCAAAGCACACCAGAAAATATGCAGCTGAGATAAGAGTTAAAGAGGCGGAAAGGCACAGGATTTGCATGTGAGCGCTGCGGAAACTAGCAGTTTTTATATGCAAGTGTGCACTCAGAGGTATGTGGCACACGCTCTTGCACACACATACATATATATATAGACGATGTATATGTGGAGGGGTGTACGTGCCTCGGCCACCGAAGCTGATTTGTAGCGAACACTGCTGGCCAGTGCAATGAAAGTAATTAGTTTGCCTTTCTTGCATTTCAAATACGAGGAAGACATGTGATCTTGTCTGAGTGTACCGAATAAATGCAAATACGTGAGTATATACGCATATTTGCTACATATCTGCTTTAATGTTCATAGCTCCTTTAATTGCCGCCTTAAATTAAGCCGTGGTAACTCAAATAAAGATATTGAACCAACAGAAAACTTACCGGTTTAATTACTTTTCACTAAATATAATTAATTGCACGAAAAATAACAGTTTTATTTACTGAATGTTTCATCTCTTTAATGCATAGATGTGTGGTGCGTCTCCAGAATTAAGATTTCTGTTCATTAAAAACAGTGAGTATTTTAACAAGTAAGGAAAGGGAGGCTAAGTTCGAGTGCAAACCAGATATTTCATACTCCCACATCTTGCAAAGGACAAAGCCGGGGAAAATTCTTTTCAGGTTTCATTGAAGTATTCAACAGCTTGGCCGATAACCAACAAAAAGTCTCACATCTCCCCATAATCGGTATTTTGGGTCATGATCAGCTATGGTCCGATTTTGAACATTTGTAGGCTCGATATGGCATACCTCAGTGGGACTATGTGAGCAAAGTCTTATCCGAATATGGTCAATGGTACTTGATGTGTGTACTGAAATTGAAAGAATCATATGGAGTGAAAACTTGTGCCATATGGGAAGTAGGCGTGGTTGTAAAGATTTTGCGCACATAAGAATGTCATAATAATACATCCCACCAAGTTTGGTTCTCTCAGTTGAACAGGTCAAGTGACATGCGGTGCCACGCCCATCAGCCTATTTCGAAAGCGGCTTCTATAAATCCCTCTTATATCAACATGAATATTGTGGCTTAACTAACTTGGCAGATATCAAAATTAAACAATTTAGAGTGCGTTCCCCTTGTTACTTCAATTACCTGTACCAAATTTAAGTTTTATATTTTAGTCTGCGGCTGCGTTATGGCGTTTTATAAGTTTCCGATTAATGTCGTTTTGTGAGCTTAGATCGCATTCATATGAGAAATTGGCTTGGTGGTAATTCGATGACACCAATTTTTACAATTTGAGCATGGTTGACATCCGATTTCATTCAGTTTCATAGTGAGTGAGAAAGTCTCAAATAAATTTTCTTCTAAGTAAGTTATAGCTCCTATGTGTTGTTTGATACATTAACCTAGTGGATGGTGGGCCACACATGCTTTTTGAAAATTTACAATCCAAAGATGACCTATTTAACTAGTTTGTACTAAACTACTAATTTATTACATAATCTGTAGCAATGGTCCGATTTTGACACCCTGCTTTGGGTACCAAAACCTAAGTGTTCAAATTATTTTCACTCAAGCACTCTCTGCTTTCATATCTACAAAATGTTTAACTGTCGTTGATCTTTTTTATGATATGCACATTTTGGTATGACCTTGAGCATTCTAAGCGATTCGGTTTCTATCTGCTCAATCGTCGCGAAACGCCATCCTTCTATGAGGCTTTTCATTGTTAGGAATAAGAGTAGCAGATCAGAACTGCCGAATACACTGGCTGACTTATTATTACAGTTTTATTTTTGGCCAAAATATAACGAGCAAACAATGATTGTTTTGGTTGAAATTCAGCAATTTTGGAGCGAATTTCGCTGCCACATGCCTCATGGCCAAATATTCGAAAAGAATGCATAGCATATTCCGCCATATTTTGTTGCTCCTCTAATAGTGATTCGACTATCTCCTAAACATTTTCTTCACTTTCTCAACATAAACATCGGTTGTCGGAAGAGTCGGAGACCCTATAAAGTATATATATAAATGATCAGTATGTTGAGCTGATCATTTTGCCATGTTCGTTTGTCTATCTGTCCGTCCGT